GAGGGTGGCGGAGTCCTCGCCGAGGGTTTCTGCTACGTGCCCCACTGCTGCTGCCACTGCGACGAGCGCGAGGAGAACCAGCTTAACGAGAATCTCGAGAACGAGATGATGCGCTAACCTCGCGCGTCCCAGTCTCAGTCGCTGTACAAACATGTCATGTATTTTCTCGCGAGTGCGTTAAAGGAGCAAGAGAGAGACGAGAGAGACGAGAGTCGCATCGATCTCATGCGCCGTTGTTGCCGAGGCAGGGCGCTTTTATTTCCCGATGTTCTTCCAAACGAAGCTTTACGATCTCCGTGAATACGAGTCGACGAGGACGTTCGACGATTGTGATAATCTCTCAAGGCCTGTGAGAAATTGGTGATCGATAACCCAATCGTTTTCAAAACATTACTCAGTATTATTTATATGCATGTGTGCGCCATAGTAAACCACTGGAACATAGGGTGGAACAATAAGCCGCGTCAGAGCGTTATCGGACGAGACAAGAAGATTACTTTCTTCTTCGGATGATGAGTGCCGACGGCTGAGCGGCCTGAGCTGCTGAGTAGCCTCTTTTACCCCGAAGATACTTAGTTCGTAATTATTAAACCCTTCGAGTCATCCACACGTTCATTATATATTTCCTTTAAAGCACAGTCGAACATATTAATTATCCACGAGCAATGATTATACCACAGCCTTGAGATACGTCCTATTATCATTGTCTTCCTTTAAAGTTAATTATTAATAACATCAGTTTAAGATTTAGTCCTTAAGTGTTTATTTTATAATGTCAATTAGGATAATTGAAAAGTGTATGTTAATAATTCTCAGTGTCATTTAACACACGTCTACTTAAATGTGCGCCTACTTAAAATCTGCATTCTTTTCATAGATCCACTTTTGAATCTTTTATCTCTTGAATATTCATTAATATCAATGATTGTATTTAAATTGTCAACGTCTTATCTTGCCGTAAAATTACACCCCTAATCGTTCAACAATTGTAATATGAATTTATAATTTTATCCATTCGTTTCAAGCACTTGTAATTGCGTAGAGAATGTTTGGTGTGATCAGATGAGCAACATTTGTCGAAACAATTCCACAATGCAAATTGATGACTTAAGAGCAAATGTGATTTAATTAGTTTTACATTATCTATTTATATTGAACTTATAATATTATAATTATATCGAATACATTAAGTATTTCATATTTGTAAGCTTTCCAAAATCTTTCATTACTGTAACAACGACATTCGTACATATAATTATTTAATGTGATTAATATTAATTAACATAGTTTTATGTTAATGAGATAGGCTGACACAATGGAGTGCGTCGGTTAATAATTCAATAAGGTGATAGTTTATTGTACAAAGAAATAGATTTATGCGTAATTGATGAGTCATCGAATTTACCATTAATTGTACGCTATCACTTTAAGTCTGTGATATGTAATTAATACTTAAAATTATAGAAATATATTAAATATATTTAGACATAAAGTTCCATTTTGTATTAATTTGAATAACCTGTTATCCCATATTTCGTTCTTTATTATTATTATTATTTATTTATTTATTATTATTATTATTTTTTTTTATTAAAACAATATATTTTAACGTAAATAAAATTTGATTGAATAGTAAAAAATGTTGTAAAAATTATTTAAATTAATATTTTAATACATAATACTACGTGTAAATATTACGATGTTTTGTTGTTATTAAGATTTTTAACAAGATTGTAATGTTCTAATAATTAGTTTATTCTAATGATTTTTTTAAAAATTATTTATATTTTATAATGCCAATAATATTCATTAATAGTTGTTTAAAATTATAAAGCTTTAACTGTAACGCGTTCGAGTTCTTTATAAAAACTTTAAACGCTTTATGAGAAAACATTATTTGCACATTGAATTGGCAGCGAATGTTTGATTGAATTTTTAAAGAAATAAATTTGATATAAAATGAATGATTTAGTTTTAATAATTTTAGTAGTAAATACTATTCACGATCTTCGTCATCAGCCTACGTGAGAACCATCTCTTTCATTTTTCATTAATTTATGCATATAATTAATTAATTAAAATACAATATTCTTATTATTACCAAATTCAATTTAAATTATTTATAATACACCTTTATCTAATATGACCAAATGTGAGATTATTATTTAATCGTTAAAAGCAGAATGAGGTAAGTTGCTGTAATATATAATGTAATGTTTTAGGTTGAATTACCATGTGTATTTCATAAAATTATGCATTTAATGAGCCGACCGTTGCTGACGTGTGCAAATTTTTCTTTTAAAAAATAATGGAAACAATAGGATTCAATACAAAATGTAAACGAATGTAATGCACGCTTTGTTGGTTTAAATTTAAAAAATAATGAGAGAATTTTAACATATTGTAGTCGCGTGCACACACACACACACACACACACACACACACACACATATTCCCGTAAAGTACATTATTCATATAGAATACAAAAGGTATATATTATGAATAGAGATTTGTGCACGTAATTAGAACTTTTGTTATTGCAATTTTGTCTACATCAATAAATTCGCACTCCATAATTTATGCATTGTAATTTAAATTTTCAATAAATTAATTTTATTTCGCAAAAAATAAAATACTCTAGTCACTCTACATTATCATAACTTTATTTTATGCATCAGTTAGGCATCACTTTATTTTATGTCCAATTACATCAATGAAAAAATTTGAAACAAAATGATGTGGAGTAAAGTTTACGCTTTAAGAATTCCTGGGTTTTGCATATATTTGCATAATGAATTGTCGTTATGTGGAAGAACTTTTTTTTTTTTTTTGTAAACCACGCATGGGGTTTAAGTTATCAATAAAGAATAATGGTTTTCTATAATACCTCTTTGTTAGGATAAGTAAATCGATTTTCTTTATATTTTACACGTACGCAGGCTCCTGAGTATTTTTCAGCATTATTCACATAAAAAGCCTTACAATTTAAGAGGCTAAAAGATAGTTAAATCTAAGTTGTAAAAGTTCTTTTGAACTGGTGTGTTTTGCAACGTTTTACTTGCCTTAGATAAATCTAGAAATTGAGTTTAATAAAAATCTTTTAAAGAGAAATTCTTAAAGTATAAATTATGTCATGCAAGCATCACCTACCTTGAATAATATATTCAGAAGATCATTAATGATGAATGATATAGTTTATCGGAGGCTAGTGAAAACAATGGGCAAAGAAGGATAGTGGAATGAACGTAAACATTTTTATGCAAGTTTCATCCTTTTGTTTTTATTGAAAAAATGCTCATTGCAAAAATATGAATTATTGTCTCTGTCTCACTCGTTGTCTGTTTGGTTACATGAACACGCTCACGCACACCTACACGCATGCATAAGCACGCGCGCGCGCGCGCGCTCACTCACACTCACACACACACACACACACACACACACACACACACACACTTACCGCACAAAACAAACTCAACATACAAAATCGTATAAAGGGTATAACGAATATATTCCGCATAAATTGACAATTTGTACGTGGACTAATGACCGCTGCGTAATAATAGCAGCGGCAACATAAAAAGTATGTAAATGGAACACGGAAACAGTTTTAATTGACTCTCTTCTTTTTTCTTCCACCTCTGTCCTTCCCTTTGATCGCCCCTACACACTCACGCTCTCCTTCTATCTGTCTGTCTGTCTGTCTGTCTATCTGTCTCTCTCTCTCTCTCTCTCTCTCTCTCTCTCTCTCTCTCATCCGTTCACACCATAGCATCTTTTTCACGCACATATTCTCTCTCTTTCTCTCTTTCTCTTTCTCTCTCTCTCTCTCTCTCTCATTATCTCTTATAAAATTACCAGTATACGCAATATAGTTATTTACAAAAAAGAAAAACTCTATCCCCGCTATATACACTATACAATAAATTTGGACCTAGCCAGGGTAAAATAAATAGTTTGGTATATCACTCTTATAAGGTACAGGTATGACTATGCTGCGTTATCACAACCGAAGCCGGTCGCACATGAATATTTGGTTTAGTAATCCGGGCATTGGGGGATCGGGTCTCGGGGCCTCGCTAGTAGGCGAGCTCGGCACCCCAGGGCCTATAAGGTTTGCCGTGCTGCTGTTGGGGTCCGTATTGGCCCGGGTATTGTCCGTGGCCAGGATACTGGGCCGGCGGCCAGGTGAGGGGCGGCGGGGGAGGTGGCGGTGGCACCGGTGTCGGAGCGGGCTGGTGCTGTTGGTGCTGTTGGTGCTGTTGGTGCTGCTGCTGCTGCTGCTGCTGCTGCTGTTGCTGGTGATGATGGTGATCGTAGCTAGGCTGCTGTTGGTGAGGCTCGCGGTGGAAGCTCTGAAGGTGCGAGAGAAGCCTCAGCCTGAGTGGATCCCGCTCGTCAAGACCCTCCATGGTCACGAGGTAGCGTCCGACTTCGGCCGCGCACTCGCCCCAGCCGACCGCGTGGTAATCCATCGCGAGCTTCGTGCTGTCATAGCCTTCGGCCCCTGAAACATGCCGATAATAAGTCCGAGTCGTGGATGCGAATCGCGCGTGGGGCCTGAAAGTCGGGGGTCAGCCGAGATGGAACGCGACGGGCGGAGGAAGGAGGAGAGGGGAAGAGCCGAAATCCGACGTTCCCATGGCCGAGAGTGGCAGATGGTCCGGGGCCCGCGAGCAGCAAGGTGCAGCCGCAGGTAGCGTGGGAACGGGTCGCGCGAGCACACGCGAGTCCGATCCGAAGCCGCGCTTCCTTATCTCCTTGGGCGATAACCCCCTAGCTGATTCTGGGGCTTATTGGCCCAGGCGCGAGTCGTCTAGGATATACGACCAGCACCTGGGCACGAGACAAGGAGGGGCGTAGGCCGAGGGAACACTCGAGGGCAGGAGCCTCGGCCGCAGTGAAAGAATAAGATGCGCGAAGAAAGGGGAAGAGCCCCGACGAGAGCTGCTTTCCCACAGTGGGGCACATCTGTCTCGACACTGCCTCCCTCCCTCCTCAACACACACGCGTGCGCGCACATATACACAAAATCTCTATATATCGTTCAATCTCTCTCTCTCTCTCTCTCTCTCTCTCTGACTCACACTCTCTCTCTCTCTCTCTCTCACTCTCGCTCATTCTCGTACGTGCGCTCTCCCTTTCCTGCTCGCTTGGTCGGCTCCCCCCTTCTACCGGCCGTCTCTGCGGCTCCCCTCTGCTGCTCGAACTCGAATCGTGGGAACAGCACTTCGGAAGAGTTCTTCTTGACTTCCTGTGCTTCCCACAGGGTCCAGCACCTGCTCCCTCGCGGATTCCAGTGGCTCCCCACCCCACCCTGGGAGGGTCTTCGAGGAGGTGTCAATAGGACTGCAGTGGGGGGGGGGGCTGCACGAGAATTGCCATGGCCACGGATTTGCTTATCGCGTTTTGGCGTGATGCGTTCGCCGCGTGTTTACTGCCCAGCTAACAGGTGTTTTCCGCTGGTTCCCATTCACGACATACTTCGCCGATCCTCCCCCTTCCACCTCCCACCTATCCACCCTCTTACCTCAACCCTCTACCACTTCCTGCGTCATCACTGGCCGCGAACCACTCGCCTTCCTATGTTTGTAAACAAACTCCACCCTCCCACTCTCGCCCCGCACCGTCCAGCTGCTCGACCAACGAAGATCTTTATTGACTTTTCCCTCTAATGCCGATTATTCGCTCATGATGAAAGGGGGACAGTTTTTCCGACGCCTTTCTCTATTTTTCCTGTAATTCATCCCCCTTTTCAAATGCCCTGTGGAATCATCGCGATGAGCGATAGGTTTCGCATGAAACTGATAGCTCTGTTCCCTTCGATGATTTACCACTCTTTTGATAGTAAATGTGTTTAGTCTTGATGAATTTGCAAAAAAACAAACAGCTTATAAAATATTATCAATTTCAGTATGCTGTGAAAAATCTATCACAATTGTACAATTGTAAAATATCAAAAATCCTCTTATCTTTCTTATATTGATGCTTTTTTTTTATTTTGATCTTTTTCATGTTTTTTTCATTAAGTGAACTCGACGTTTCTATGTGTGTGTTTTTTTTTATATATATAAAATTAAATCTTATGCAAATGTATATGAATAAAGAAATTACGAGTAGATAAAAATATCAACAGTATATTTATAATGGCAAAATTGTATGCAAAAAATAAGATTCTATACATGTGAAAATGTGATTATCTTAATTTATTGAAAGTACATGGGAAAGGATTGTATATATTTATTTTTTTTTTCTTTTCTTTTAATTTATTTTTTTTTCTTTTCTTTTAATTTATTTGTTTCTTTAATAAAGTTAATTGATAATATTGCATAAGTTTAAACAATTTTTAAGACGCAGAAATTTAATAAAATTAAAAGACTTTAATTATAAATCGTTTAATATTTTAAAGTATAAAAATTACAACCCCCCCCCCCCTAACACGAGCACGCACACATACGCACACGCGCACACACATATTTGTATGTAATGTATTACTTAACTTCATTTTTGTTAAAAAAAATTTGCATAATTTTACAAAAGACAATAAATGTTTTTAATTTTACCAAATTTGTAAATAAGTATTCAAAATGCCTGATAAAATATTATATTTAACATTCCACAATATAATTGTTGAATTTTAAGAAGAATCGATGTTTGATAGAAAAATTATTTATGAATAAAATTATATAATAAATAAATCGACTGTATATTCTACTAATCATTTGTGAACAATGAAAGAAGATATATTTCAGATTCTTATATGCAATAATAGTAAGTTGGAAAAAGTATTAAGAAATTTATCTTTATATGACGATGGTCGTGACTTTTTATTATAATTACTAGCGATAAGTGTACAGAAAGAGTCATAATTATCAAAAATTCTTATGATAAGTCAAAAATTTTTTAAATTATTCAAATGATTTTTGAATGTTCATTGGTAAGCTTGCAACTGTGAATTATCTAAGTAATCTATTATTTAATTTGATTTACGGAATCGTTAATTATTGCACAATAAAATTATAGTTTCAATTGTCTATTGATGTTGAATTTTTCCATTAACATTTTAATTGTTTTACATTGTTTAATCTGTTATCTCACCAAAAGTATAAAAAAAAATAAATTATTTATTATGTATGTTTATATATACATATTTATAAAGCTTAATTTGATATTATCATAAAAATTACTAACGCAGGTTGGTATTAATTGTTAAAAAAAAAAAAAGGAAAAAAAAGAAAAAGAAAGATGAATAGTAACGAGCTTAATTAGGGCAGAATATAAAGCATAACCAAAGAGCTTCGGTATTATGAAAATCGGAGTCGAGCGAAGCTTGGATCGTGTTAACGTCTCTTACTTGACTTTTTATTCTACATCGCGATTGCGCGCAGCGAGCGGGAAAAGACGAGGAACCGCGTCGAGGAGCGAATCGAAGTAAATATTGGTAGATGAGATTGTTTATATATAATTAAGATAGTTAGATTGTTTAATATAACTAATGTATATTTACCTTTATTCCTGAGTGATCTGAGATGCTCGACCGTCAGTTGGAGAATCTCGGCCTTCTCCAGCTTGCCACTGTGGGGGTCGCGAGCTGCCGCGGGTACCAGCCTCCGGAGTTCGCCCAGGGAGGCGTTGATCCGGTCGCGCCTCTTTTTCTCGATCATGCCTCGACGCCGCTTGCGCGACGTGTGCTGGCACGAATCGGCGCCCGGCGAGTTGCACCTACAATCACAAACCTTTTCTTGACAATCATGTTTTATACAATTTTTTCGTATCTCTCGTCATGCATTGGTTATTAATCGATAAAGGTTTTCTCTTTGGCTGATCTATTCGGCAGGAGTGCGCCCAGGTCGTCGTAATAAATATCGGGCGAGGTTTTGCCGTAAGAGAGTAGCGATAAAACACGGCGAATGAAATGGACCGACTTGGTGAAAAATTCGCGTAACCGGCAAGCATTAAGCAGTACCAGAGTATGCAGAGTATAATGAAGTTTCAGTTATATGTGTGTACTTACGGCTCTTTGCCGCTTTCCTCAGAGAAGACGTCGTCGCAATCGGAGTCACTCATCGGCCGCTTAAGGCTTCTTTGTTGCTGTTGTTGCTGTTGTTGCTGTTGCTGCTGTTGCTGCTGCTGTTGGGCTCCATCCTGGCCTTGCTGGGGTTCCGGGGCGGGCTCATGCCCGTAGCCGAGGGACTGCAGTGGTCCGTAGTGTTGCTGGGGCGGCCAGAGGTGCTGCTGATGCGGATGATGCTGATGGTGCGGGGGCAAAGTAGGTGGTGCGAGGGAAGGCGGTGGCGGCGGCGGTGGAGCGGTCAACTCCGAGGATAGCAGAGTGCCGCTATCCTCGGGCCGGGCGAGCACTACGCGCCACATCCTCCGGTCGACTCCTCGCCGGCACTTGGCGTATCCTCGCGTGCGGGCGCGCGCACACACAAGCACGTGTCCACTTGTCGGGCGCGCTCCACGTGTCGGTCCGCGGAGTCGCGGTGCCGCGCGTCTCGTGCGTATCGGTCGCGTGCCGGCGGACGTATGTCGTGTGCGCGCCGAGCGACCCGACACACGACCCCCTTCCCCGAGCCCCGCGGGGTGGTACCGCAGGGGAAGGAGAAGTCAGAGGCGCAGGCGCCCCCGCTCCCGCTACCGTTCCCGTTCCCGTTCCCGCACCCGCTCACGCTCCTGCTCCCGCTCCCGCTCCCGCTCTCGCAGCCGCTCCCGCCGTCGCCCCGTGGGAACCGCTTCGCGCCCCAAGCTCTCACCCTATCCCGGACCCGAGACTTTTGGGGCACGTGCGAGGGCCACCTTGGGCTCCGCAGCGCGCAGACTAACGGCCCTCTATCCTTATCGGCCTCTTGGACTCTCCGTCATGCGGGACATCCCTGGCTAATAATTGGCGGTCGAGCTAATAGCTTAGGTGTCGGGCAATTACATATGCCACTGGGTTAGAGTCGCGAAATGATTCGCGAATGAGTCGCATTCGTCGCGGGGCGATGGCCGGCCCTTGGGAGGGAGCGGAATTGAGCGGGGAGGGGAGGGGGGAGAGGGAGGGAGGGGTGCTAGGTTGGTCTGAGCTCGTGCGCGGACAATAAAGCGGACAATAAAGTTCACATAGGGCCGGGGCACGCGTCCGCGTGATTATTGATATGTGCCGGGCTCGTGCCGCTTGGGAAACGCGATATCGATCAGCGGCGACTAACTAATCAAACGCTCTTGGCTTACGACTCTCGCGTACGCATAACCGATCAACCCTCCACGCCAATCAATTTACCATTTCGCCTTACTTTTATCAATTTGCGAATATGTCCGGTCCTACCTCATCCACCCCCCGTCCCCCTCCCTCTCCCACTCCCCACCACTCTCTCTCTCTCTCTCTTTCTCTCTCTCTCTCTCTCTCTCTCTCTCTCTCTCACTCATCTGTTAGTCAGTTACGATGCATTTCATTCTCGGGAGTGTGGAGCTGATTTCGTTAAAATTCGAACCTGTTTTTAATTTACTTATGTTCACGGATATTTCAAATATTAAAATATGCAAGACAAGCTTAATCTTCGTGCCATCAAGACCATATTGGAAGGTTCCCAGGCATGAAAACTTGGCATTCAAAATTCTGTAATCTACGGCAATTTATGTATCTTAATTGTAATGATGTATGTTCGTATGCAAGATTATCTAAAAAAATTTTCAAGCACAATGCATTTACTTTGATTACCAGTGATAAAGTATGCACTGATTTTATCTGATATTAGAAACATATTGATCAAACGAAAAATACGATAAATGAATAAAAACACCAATGCAGAAAAATTACGAAACAATATGAACGATAATGTAGAATATCATGAATTCTAACGCTTTTCAGACATTGACCATCTATTACTTGACCATCTATTCGATTATTATTGGTCTTTCATCATTTCTGTTTGACATTAAATCCTGAGATATTAGCTAATAGCTCGAATTTAATGAAATAAAATATTTAAACGAATTCTTATTAAATTATGCTTTAAAATAAAATTCTTGGTCAGTCACTTATCCTTTTATGCTAATATGCGTGTACATGAGAAATAAACTAAATCAATTAAGAAGTGAAATGACAGGGATTAAAGATAGTGGTTTAATAAGGGGAAAAAATTATTTAAATTTTGTCATTAAAACATTCATTGCTAAAAATAAAAAAAAATCGAGATACGGTTCCAAGGGTGAACGGCGATTGATTAATCTTTGCCAGTGTTTTCCCATCTCATTAATCCACAGACGTTCCAAGACGTTTCAAATTTCTTTAATCTCAACTTTTCACTTTTACTTAAATACGTATTCGTTGCTTGCTTTCAATATTTATGCAAATTAAATTTTTTTTTTTTTATAAATCTTTACAAATTTGCAAACGAATGATTTGACTGTTACTCAAAAGCTTGCTATAATAGCATTTATGCATAACGACGATCGCGTCATTTAATTGGGTGCATAACATATTGAATATGAATTAAATCTTGAAAGGAAGTGAGAGTGAAAGTAAGAAACGTCGTATAAGTTATGTCGGAAACGGCGATTGCTATTGCAAAAATTTTCCATCGATCGTATTGTAAAATTGAGCTGAAATATTTCCGCTGACTTATTTCGCTTTTAACAAAGCATAATGGCATTATAAATTGTTTTCCGCTTCGAAATTGGAAGTCATTCTTTAATAAATAATTAAATGATTTAATGAGCGGTAGGCATGGAGTTGGTTCATCATCTCACGAAAATAACAATATTATCATCATGTAAATTAAGTGGGCAGCGCATTTAATTGCGGTCTCAGCTCAATAAATGGACATATTATTCGAGGGAGTTGATTTTAGAGCGGCGGGCACAATAATAAAGCCCCGAAATTTCGATTAAAAGCGTGATCGCCTAATGTAAGGGTCTGGTGCCGATGGCCCGTAAAGGATTTTCAAGCGAAATTGCAATCCACGTCACTCAATCCCCGTGAAACTGCAGATTCACACGAAAAGGGTCGGTGGATGAATCCAGGTGTGCCTTCATGGGAAGGTGTTTGCTTTTGTTGTCAGCGACCGACACACGTTCGGATGAACACTTTTATCTACACGGCAATATCCTCGCGCAATGATTTTCGGCTTTAAAAAATCGCCGATTCACTTGGACGAAGAAGCTTGGAAGCAATTATTTACAATTGAAGAAAAATGTACGATACCGCGAAATACTTTACTCGAATAGCCCATTCTTTATCCTATGTCAATTGGTATTGCCAATAATATGTCAATAATGTTTGTATTGCCAAGAAAGTTCTCGATGCAGCTACATTTTACTTTGTGCGAATGAAACTTGCCCTTCTTCTTCCCTATAAGTGAGAGCGGGAGAAAAATTCAAATACTTTCATATGAATGAACTTATTTGAAGTCGCGTGGCGCCGCGCGTCCAACAAAACGTACTTGGACGAATAAACATAAGAAACGTAAGTAGATTATTGATATGAGCTGCTACACTGTGGAATATTTAACCTGTAGTTACCAAAGGTATTTTTTGCATTTACACGTCCTCAACAAAATTTCCCATACACACGTCTTAGTAAGATTTTATTAAGTTATGTAATTAATGATTTACTTTTCAATACAGTTGTGTGTAAAAGTAAATATTTTATGGAACTTTACACCAATAACTATGCTAAATTGTTCATAAAAAAAATTTAATATTTAAATATTTAATAATTAGGTTATTATATAATGTAATGAAAATTTCGTTAATAAATAATTGACTTCAATGGTATTACAATTAAACATCAAAAAAAAAAAAAAAAAACAATTTTAATTAATCAGCGATTCCGTAATAGAAAGGAGTTATTATTAAAGAAGTTTTCACTTTTATAATTTATGTATGTTAATTGGAAATTTATTTATTTTTTTGTTTCCCCCATAAATTATGATACTCTATTGCAAACCATATTTGTTACGTATTGTTAAAAGAACAAATTATTATAAAATAATGAAAAATTTGAAGTATCAGGTGTAACTATTTGTAAGAATTTTATGATTTTATGGTTATTATACTTATTATATTGCTTAAATTTATTATTAATCTGGATTGATCTAATAAGATCGAAATATTATGATAGCGTAAAAAATTTGATCATTCGAAACGACGGAAAATTAACGTACCGTTGAATACTTTCATTAACAATTATGTTTGTATATTTCACGAAAGAACAATAATTTATCATATCTCTCAGATTTGACAGATTAAAAAAAAAAAAAAAAAAAAAAAAAAATATATCTTCACATATGTATTGCAATAATATTAAAAATAGATGTTTTCAATATCCTATTCATTCGAAATAAAGATAAAGAATAATAACGCTTGAGATTTGTCTTTTTTTCTTAGTTTTTTTCTTTTCTTCCTTTTTCTATTCAATTATCAACTATATATCCTATCTTCTTTTAAATTTTGATAAAATGATGAAAAGGTATTTTTAATTTATATTAATAATGTTATCGTTAAAGCTCGTTAAAGTATTATGTTTTTCTCCCAATTCTCAAGTTAAAGTTATTGGTTCTACTACTATATGCAAAGTCATTGGTAATTGGTGACTTTGATATATTATATATTTGACAACGGCACCGAATTCCTTAAAATGACAATGTAGGAAAAACAATAATTAAAGTATAAAATTTATCCGTCTCTCCTAGACTAGTCGATCCAATAAATTGAAAAGTTTATTTATTCAGACCTGCCTTTGGAAAATGAAATTTGTAATTTCTGCCTCTCGGACAAAAAGCCGGTTACGTGCCCAGCAGATCACTTTGCATCCTATTTATTCAGGGAGTGTACTTTAATCGCGAGACGACACCCGTAGAAAATGTTAAGCAAACACGCATGTATTATAATATAATGTCGATGATAATAGTGCCAGTCCGCTAGTGGTCACTCTGTTTATTCGGGTTGGCTCCCAGAGATGCGGGATAAAGACGGGGGCAAATGAATTATGATTGGTGCCATTGTCACTCTTGTATCGAGTGCCTTCTTAAAAACAAGGCTCGCATAAGCCCGAGACAAAGCAGACCTACATCGGAACAAAGGGTTCAGCGGTGAACGAGGAGTCTAGAGAGATAGATAGATAGATAGAGAGAGAGAGAGAGAGAGAGAGAGTGTGTGTGTGCGCGCGCGCGCGCGTGTGTGTAGCATCCAGAGCGAAATTGATACCAGAAGAGGCAGATTGGGCACCCACGGGATAGCAAAGGAGTAGGGCGCGGCGTCGGTCAGTGAGCGATCGATCGCTCGCGGTCACTCCGATCGACAGTTGGCTCGGACCGAACGAGAACGATAATTGTGCTCCATTGTCCGGAGGCTACTTTACGATTTGTTGGCGCTCGGACACTCGGACAGTCATCGGATTTATCGCGTATCGTGTTACACGTGGGCGCGAGTCCGTGTCCGAGTGGTCGCTTTATGGTCCTCCAGGGAGTCCCGGTCGCCGCGGCTGTTTGCCCTCGTAAATTTCGCCGATGTACAATTGTGC